AATAAATCCTCGACAGGATCCCAGTGGATAGTGGTATGTGTGTGGTCCGTCTGAATGGGTACACTAGAAGCAAGAAGGACGGCGTTACCCGTCGTTTTCTCTTCATAGTCTCCACTTACGTCCCAAACGGTTGCAGTTCACATGAATTAAAGGATAGTTTCTGTCAGAAGCTGCTCAGTTTACTGCAAAAAGCAAAATACTCAGATTTAGTTGTTTTAGCAGGCAACTTCAGTGCCCAAGTAGGGAAGTTGTGCCAGACTGAGAAGTATGTAGGTTGTACGTATGGAGTTCCCTGCCGACAAACCGACAACGGTGGTGGTTTCTACAGTTCTGCTCAGATGATCATCTGTTCCTAGTCAGCACTAACTTCAGGCACAAAGAGAGACCACGTAACCTGGCAACCTTCATTACCAAATCAACACTGGACTCAGATAGACCACATAGACATAGGGTATCGTTGGCGAGGGTCAGAAGAAGACTGCCGCTCCTTCTGGAACACGTGCGTATACTCCGATCACGCTCTGGTCTACGCACGTTTATACTTATGTCTAAGCGGACTTTAAAAATTTGTTGGCAGCGAAGCAGTTACGTCCCCAACTAGATCGAGACTCTCAGTCGCTATGTATGGAAGAAATAACGGAACGCGTATCTTAGGACGACAGCAGGACTCCACCTGAGGAAGCCTGCCACAGTATACAGCTAGTTGTAGACACAGCTGTAAAAGTTGTTAACAACATGAAACCTAAAGTTAGTAAGAGTCAGTGGATTTCTACCACCTCGCCCGGACTGATTGACGCAAGAAGACTGATTCCGGCGAGCTCCATTTATGATGAGGAGCAAGAGCTGCTCAAACGCAAACTGACGCGAAGTCTTCGTAACGACAGTGAACAGTGGTGGGCGACAAAAGCGAAAGAGATGGAAAAGCCACCGGTGATTGGTAACACCAGACAACCATTTAGACTTATCAGGAAAACAGGCGATAAAAGGCAAACGACAGGTGAAACAATCTCTGAGAAAAATGGCGCCCTAATTAGCTCTCAGGATAGACGACTAGAACATTGAAAAGAACACTTTGAGGAGCAACTCAGTTGGAGTATAGCCACGCTCAAATCACCGAACATCCGACGCCTCCCTGAATGGGACATAAACAGAGGTCTTCCGTCTCTAACTGAGGCTACTAAGGTTGTCACTAGTCTGAAACGAGGCAAAGCAACAGGACCTGATGGAATGATTCTAGAGGTAATTAAGTACGGTGGAGACAGTTTACTGCCTGCGTTAACTAAGGTATAAGGTAGTGTCTGGGAATCAGAGGCGGTCCCGTTGGGTTGGCGCAATTCACTGATTACCTCGATATACGAAAAGGGACATAAGTCTCCCTGTGATAATCACAAGGGGATTAGGTTTACTAATATGGTATCTAAAGTTGTAGCCTCAATAATCATGCGTAGACTAAGCGGTCCACGAGAGTTTCAAACACGAGAAAATCAGGCAGGCCACGAAGAGGGTGTATTGATAATATCTTTACCCTTCGACAGATTCTAGAACATAGGCATGCTTACGGGCATCCAACAACAGCTATATTTCTTGATCGAAAGGCGGCACTCGATTCCGTCGACCGAGAGGCACTCCGGCGGTGTTAGGCTGTGAAGGGAGTGCCGAAAAATTATATTGCACTGATCAAGGCACTCACTCTACTCGAACTCATGCAGTCAGCCGGGTGAGAGCCAACGGAGAGATGTCACTTCAAGTGGTGATAACTAGTGGTGTCAGACAGGGATGCCTACTATACCCATTTCTATTCAATTTCATCATAGATGTACTAATGGACTGAACCCTAAGTGACTTCAGCGAATCAGTTATTGACTTTTTACCGCCAGGGAAAAATCTCGTTGACGTAGACAATGCAGATGATATAGACCGTCTTTTGAAGACGCTGACAAAACGCAGAGGCTTCTTAACACCTTGAGCTGCAATCTGCGTATGTTTGGCATAAAATTCAATCCTTTCAAATAGAAGAGGATGTTACGGGCTGAACTGGACTACACTGACTTCTAGCTAAGAGACACAGAGTGAAGTGGTAGAGCGTGTTGACCACTTCACTTATTTGGAAAGTTGCATCAGCCCCAACGGGTTGATCACTGACGAAATCTCAGCACGGATACAGAAGACTCGTTTAGTGTATGCCAACTTACGCCATCTCTGGCTCAGCAGACGCGACATCCGACTGTCGAACAAAGGGCGTGTGTACTGCTCACCAGGTCACTCTGTCCTCCTTTATGGCTGTGGGCGAGACATGGCCATTGAAAGTGGGAGACAGGAAGAGGCCAGCTAGCTGTCTTTGATCATAGGTATCTGAGTTCTATCTCCTGTGTTAAGTGGCATAATAGGGTGAACAGTTTTGAGGTTAGGCTTCGGTGGAGTGCTAGGTAAGGAGGGAGAATCAATGGATGAGGGTTGTGAAGTTGCACCCATTGAGATAGTTAGGACATGTGTTTCGCATGTCCAGCCATCATCTATCGCCTTCTTCGATGGTCAATTTTATTGTCATATTATACTTACTGAAAAAACTTATATTATTTCGGAATGTACTTTTTTTCCCTTTTTAAGGCAAGTGTTTTACTGATTTTGTTCATATGTCTCGTCAATACTGACCCATTTATATGAACCGAGCAAAAAAGTATGTGAGTACTCGGTATGATTATGAGCCATAAATTGTGCTCGAAACGTCGTCAGTGCGTCGGTGGCACATTGGTTAGGACTCTTGCCGACCATGCATTTGGTCCGGGGTTCGATCGCTTGATATCTATGGTCGACCTGCGAAATTTGGGCTACCGATATCATATGCTGAAAATTCCATGCATGTACCAAAAATTTCGGTGTGGACTCAAGCTGTAATGAAAAAAAATAAAATAACTAATACTGTACAACACTGTAACTTTTTCAAAAAAAATTTTCTCAGTAATTAAATTATACTCCAACACAGAGCACAAGTTTTATCCTCATATACATAGGGCATAATTCATTGTTGATTTCTACAGAAACCATAATTTGAAGGTGCCTGTATTGGACTCATCCCGAATACTTGCTCTATGGTATGAAGTACGCTCCATACATAGACAGTTCGATTGACCGAGACCGTATCTACTTTTAAAGCCATATGAAACTTGCCTGCGACAACATCAGTCACGCAAATTGGGAATTAAGCCACACAAACAAAACAAATTAAACGTGACCCGTTGTTTTTTGACATATTATTATACGTGGCAACCTCACTTTTCAGTATCTCACATAAACTCATGCACCTATTACTTGTCTAAAAGTATTTGCTTTCTATTTCTTGATCTATCATGAGGAAAGTGAGCATTCATTTAGCGAAATAACCACTTCAGCAGTACTACTGCCTCAACATAGACCACGAGATTCGCCTCAAACCTTACACTTATTAAACTGGTTCTCATACCGAAATACTCGAAAATAATACACGCAATAGAGCGCATAAGGTGGGAATACAGACTTGTGTTTCACAAGCACTTCATAGTGGGCAAGTGATGAGGAGGAGTTATTTCAAGCACACAGAGGGACAACTGTCAATGAGTGGCGTTATTGCAAACCCCTCTTTATTCGAGTCCCACGGAGAAAAGAAACATTACGGAGCTTTAAGAAGGCATAGAACCTCCTTGGTTATTAGGTTCATCCTTCGAAACTAGTCAACCACCAACTACCTGCTATCTGACCCTAAAGTTTTAAGTACATTTTGCATGGCGTAGAGATCCTCCCTCCTACCATTCGTGAGGCCGATCACAGCCAATGCACATGAGTGTCGTAACTGAGAGCGCAGAACGTTTTTTAGGCAATGACTCATTGGTAAGCCGGTTCTACGAGGGGAATTCAATTTGTGCTATGTCGCGAGAGGTATGTTGGATACTGAGTGGATGTAAACCATTGATTTAACTGAGATGAAAGTTCGTTCACTTTTTTAGCAAGGTGATACGCATTGAGTTCCTCCTTGAATCATAATACGGTTTGCATTAACAGTAAAAAATTCAGAAATGAAAGTGTGGTGAATGTTTCATTAGTTACTGAAAAGCAATGAAAACACAATTAAGACATTGTATACCAATGAGTTACTTCGGCTCACCCAGTCTCCTCTGGTTCTCTGCGCAGACGACCTAAATGTATGGAGATAGCCTAAGGGTGATTATGAGATGCTCACGTAACAAAATTTCAACATACTGTTAGATTGCATGGAGGATTTCGTCATGAGCTGACATCAGTTAGAGAACCACTGGAAAGCCTCGGAGTACTGGACAGCTGTTTCGTCCTAGTTTCGGACTCTTCATCAGTACGCGCCCGCTGTTAGATTGGTTCGTAGACTGGATGACCCCAACCAACGTAGGGAAGTGAGTGATCATGCGCACTGGACAAGCAAGCGTCGGCACATATGAATGAGGGGGAATAACACTCCAATCACCTCAGACATATGTGAGCCTGGGTATCACAGTGACTGAAGTACAACATCGTGGGGTGATAGACTGATGTCTTGGATCGTTGTGGGCAGTTTAGAGAATCACTGGTGATATGTTCACTTCTCTATGCACACCTCTGGTGAGGTCAAGGCTAAAAAATAACTCATACAGCCAGCCATTGTCTTAAGCAAGATTTGTATATCCTGAAAATGGTTCAAGGGAAGGTAGCTCGTATAGTTCTTGGTACTAGAAGACCTATCAGCTAGAATGTCTTATCACACCATAGGTAGAGAGATTTCATGACAGTATTTAAAGTCCTGAAAAACAACTATTGGCCCAATCTGTCTTCTTTTTTCGTTCCAGCCAGACTGAAACATATCAGAGGACATAGCGGAAGGGTTTCATAATCAAAGAGGAACGACACTGCCGTGGAGTACTGGTTCTCCCACATAGTCATTATCTTTTGAACCTGACTCCTCAGAAGAAACGGTGCCAGAGCTCCCAGTTGACTCGTTCAAGAAGAGTTTGTAAAAGAACAGAAACTTATTGGAAAAGAGCTCATATAGGCTTCAATATATCCGAATCTAGCTCTCATTCGATTTTGTATGGCGCCTTCTTAGGTCTTTGCGTTACTACAGGATGTCGGTCAAAGGTGGGGACCGGTTAACTCCTTTTATGGCCTACGTGCGGAATTTATTGTTGGGGAGGAAATACAACAATACACTAAGGTATGCCGAGACAATGTCCAAGAGAACGCAACCTCCCGCTTTTCTCCCCAATGGCGTAAATGATAAACTATCTTCTAATGATTATTACACTCGAGATGGTAGACGGGAAGTCCGTAGACCTTCTGATGTTTATGTTTCCGGAACTAAAAGGTTGACAGATGCAGGCAGGTGAGATCCTTAGTGTTTTTCCCCAAGTAAAAGTGGTCTTCATGCTCATTCTTTGATAAGCTAGAAATTGTATATTCCCCACACCAATTCTTTTATCAGGTTTTCGGAAGAAGATACTCCATGTAATTGCTGTTACATAACATTGTATGCATTTTACGTGGGAATATGTCTGTTGTATTGTTATTATTCAGCCACTTATTTGAGACAGTAGCTACTAGCACTGTCTATCATCATCTGCTGTCATTAGTCACGTGGATATGGGATAAGTGAAAACTGACACTAATATAAACTCTTTGATGCGACTCCTGTGTGTGTGGTAATCATTTAGTATCAACCATTAAATGCTAAATCCCCGCATTTACACACATCTGGAAAGCGCCACATATATTGTACGAGAGCTGAGAACCGCCCGACTAACCAATTCTCGATAGTTTAAAAGGTCTTTGGCCCTGTTTTCCAGTGGTTTAAGGTCAAATGAACAGACCAGTGAGTATCAACTCCACTGAGCATTCATGAAGTTATAAGTTATAGGTATAAAACTAGCAATAATGCTGTAAAGAAAATCAATACCAAACTATAATAATCGATGGAGTGATTGTTGAATTATAATCTAACTCGAAGGTTGTTTTTGCGTGATCCTGTGTCTGTTAGCTTAATGCATGTAATTAAATACTACTGTTTTTCTGGTGTTAGAGAGCACTTGGGCGAACGGTCTATAAACTTCACGAGGCGTCAGCGTTTTATTACTTAGTTTTGATTTTCTCATTTTAACACAAATCAAAATGTTTTTATGATGTTTGGATATTTTTATAGGCAGTAATGCTAATTTCATAAGGCGTGAAAAGTAAATGGCTAACTGAAAACTGCTTCGATCTAAAAATTTGCAAGAAATCGCATGTTCGCCATACTTTAGAAGTGCACACCAGAGAGAAAAAGTATGAAGAAAATACAATAGGAAAATTAAACAGCAGCAATAACGAACTGAGCAGAATAACGTGTAGTCATTCTACTTCGTTGGTTCTTTTCAGCTGCATATGAACCAGCAAATTCTAATATAAATGTACAAAATATTTGCATGCATTTGCTATTGATCATGGCTGAACGACTGAGTTTTTTTCACATAAAAGCTTGTACAGCAGTACGACGGTTCAATTTGCCACACCATATACCATATAGAAAGGGGAAAAATCAAAAGAAATATAATTAGTGCAAATATGCTGGGGAATAAACAACATGACTTAATGAATCTGCGAGACCAAAGAGATTAGCCAATTTCAAGACATCAGCAAGTCAGAAGCCATTGCTTTCTAGCACCTTAACGATCCCAGGCAGGCGGCCGTCTGCACCTCTTTAGGTGAATCAAATAAACAGTCAGACTTCATGGATAGATTCCATGCTTTGATTCAATCACTATTAACTCTACTCCAGTCTAATCACATATCGGTAAACACTGGCTTTAGAGGAAGGCAGTGGCTTGGCCTGTGTAATACGTGTCCTGGCCATGTCAATTAGTGCAGCTTCCCTCCTTATGTAACACTGCGCCTAACCTCAATATTTTTCATCATTTAATAATACTTAGCACAGGATATAGGATGCAAAGGTCTGTGGTTGAAAACAGATAGCCTCTTCAGACTTGCCACTTTCAGTGGCAATTTCTTACAGTCAAAGAGAATGAAGTGAACTGCTGCGCCGTACACACTTCTTTATACTGATAGCCGGGTGTAGATTCTACTCCCGAAATGGAGTGGTCAACACTCATCCACTTTACTCGCTATCTACAAACTAATAGTTTGTACGGACCAGTATCATCTAACATTCTGCAGTGAGGAGACTGATGCTAAGCACACTAAGATTGCTGATCAAGGTTTTCAGAAGCCCCTGCATATTTTCGGCGTCCCCATGAAGGAAAGATAAAATTCTCATGCTCTACGTCTACGAGAATGTTCGCTGCTAACAAGTCACTGAATTCAGTTACGGTTACACTCATTAACCCATCCATGCGGGAAATAAACAACAACATCCTACTTTTCCTGAAAGGGGAGGCCGTTAATAAAAGGTGAATAAATAGTATAACTGAAAGTGATACAAGTTGTTCTTATGCTTGGTAGAAAGGCTAAGTAGCTTCAACATAGAACTTTGCCCAGATGTGCAGCAGTTCAAGTCGCCACACTCCAAGTAGCACACAACAAAGGAAGAAAGTAAAAAGATGTGCAATATAGAGACAGTAAACAGAGATATGAGGTAAAAAGAATAGCAATATCGGAGAACAATATAGTTTTATTGAATATAATAAATCACAAGAAGTAGAACATCTGCGCCATTGAGAACGATTTTGAGCCATATCACCAGCTGTCTCCAGCCATTGATCTAACCATCCCGAAGACCCCAACCAGTCAGGAAATCTACACCACCCTACGTGGCTTAAACTAACTGTTATGGATTCCATTGACTGGTGCCATGTTTTAGTTTGACTACGACTAGCTCTCTCTTCCAACCTGGTCCTATGTCAGCTAGCTAACATTGTCCATTGTCGAGGAAGGCGATAGATGATGGCTGGACATGCGAAACACATGTCCTAACTATCTCAATGGGTGTAACTTCACAACCCTCATCCATTGATTCTCCCTCCTTACCTAGCACTCCACCGAAGCCTAACCTCAAAACTGTTCACCCTATTATGCCACTTAACACAGGAGATAGAACTCAGATACCTATGATCAAAGACAGCTAGCTGGCCTCTTCCTGTCTCCCACTTTCAATGGCCATGTCTCGCCCACAGCCATAAAGGAGGACAGAGTGACCTGGTGAGCAGTACACACGCCCTTTGTTCGACAGTCGGATGTCGCGTCTGCTGAGCCAGAGATGGCGTAAGTTGGCATACACTAAACGAGTCTTCTGTATCCGTGCTGAGATTTCGTCAGTGATCAACCCGTTGGGGCTGATGCAACTTTCCAAATAAGTGAAGTGGTCAACACGCTCTACCACTTCACTCTCTGTCTCTTAGCTAGAAGTCAGTGTAGTCCAGTTCAGCCCGTAACATCATCTTGCATTTGATTTGAGTGAATCGCAAGTGTAAGGTGATGATGTTACAGGACTGGACTATATGAGTAGAAGATGTGGATTTATGTTGATTTAATTGGTGAAGCGTTTTGAGATTGATAGCTTGCAGATCGGTGTGTCAAGTGAAATTTGTTGCTTATTCTGTTAGTCGTAATTAACGTTAAAGTTCTGCAATACAAAAAAATATATTGCATATTTGACCAGTTTATAGTATTACTCTATAAGATTGATGATGAACACCGAATCCAGAGCTATTATCACTCCTTTCTGCAGATCGCTTATGCTAGTTCCATAGTTTCAATATTGTATTGCTGCTATTAGGATGAATCGTTTCATAGTGCTGCCAATTCTGGAGTTTTTGATAACCCTTATTGATACCAAGATTTATGCTCACAGTTTGACCCGTAAGCCTGCAACTTAGAAAATATTCATGTATTCATCAGCCATCCTCTTGATTGTTGTATTATTTTTGGCATCCTCTCTTCGTCTTCATAATTTAGTATTGTTTACAACTTTTTTCTAATTACACACTGCAACACCAGTTTTGTATTCAGAACATTTCGGTTTTTGAATTTGTGCGAAACAAGGTATCACAAATCCAAGCTCTCTTTTGACAACTTTTCCGCAGAACTCACTTGTTTTTATTTATGCATTTCGCTTCTGTAAAGTGTAGAATTGTAATACGACAAAGGTCACTGACATGGTTTTCCACTATGTCTCCGCAGCGTTACGAGCATTTGGTTAGACTACAGGGTGAATAATACTGAAGTGAGACGTCAAGTCCTATGTAAAAATAGTGTTATAATCTTTCATCGACTTAGGTGACCGAAGTATGTCACGTTAGGTAAGATATGGTTGTACTTGAAGGTTCGAATAGTCGAACCTAGAAATGACGACGATACATCAAGTCTTTAGTTGTTGGTATGAGTTGTTCATGAAAGTAGCTGTCGCTTAATTGTGGTCTCGAAAATAGTTTGAGACTGTCTATGACATTGTCTAAATTATTCTAATGTCTTAAATCCACTCACTATCTGTCATTAGAATTTCGAAAATTTCCACTAATAATTTATCCTTTCACGCTTCTGTCCACGACATTTTCACTGTATTTTTTCTTTATGTGCTTTTCAACCTGAAATGACACACGTGCAGAGAATTTGATATAGATGAAGGCAACTGAGATGTGACAGAGATGGTATGATAGGAGATAATGGTAGATAAACAAGGTAAATCGACATCCAAGATGACAGAATAATGAATATGATAATTATTGGTAAATATGGGATGAATGGTGTTTAGGAATGACCAAACAACAAGATGAATGCAAGAATAGGAACCAAAGAAAACAAATTAATATGACAATACAAGGTGGGCGTCAAAATCCTCTGCGCATTAGTTAGGTTTCAATTAAACTATTGCTGCTTATACATAACGTGATAATCTGCTATTACTTTGTCTATTTGCCACACTGGAAACTGTGTTTAAATGGATGACGTGAACTGTATCGAGGATTTGTCTACCATTATTACTGCTAGGTAGTCTTCCACATCACAATAACAAACTTTTCGTCACATGTCTAGAGATTCTTCCTGCAAGGAGTCTGTTCTCTCAAATCGAAGTATAATTAAATAAATAGATCCAAGTGGAAGTAACATAGGATAATTTCAAGTCCAGGCTGGTTTTCTTGATCATGTTGTTTGTTAATTTCGAAGCGGGATGTAGGAAATTCTATAAAATATAATTAGTTGGAACTTAGGCGCCTGCCACAAATTTTTCATGTGTGAGAGCTAATGTTGTTATTCGGCTTCCCAGGCTGAATTGGATACAGCGGTATTCAGGCTAGCAACAAATTGGTTGGAAGTAGAGTGTTTAAGCTGATGAGTCAAATCTACAGCTAACAGAATTGTGAATAATTACTGCAATTTAAGCATTTTTAACATATAGTTTAGTATTTATCTGGAATGAAAACCTGACCATTTTTGTTATCAATACAGACAGTGCATTTAACCAACAGTTCACAATGTGAGTAAAATCGCATATAGGCTATTGATATAACCGCCGCACATCACATTTCATGTACACGTATATTGTACAGGTTATTAAAAGAGAATTTTCTGAGGAACCTTGAAATAACCGTATCTTTTTACAAATTTTGAACTGTTGTAAGAAATGTGATTGTATTGTTTTCTTAAATGTCACTATATTTTGGTTTGGTACTTATGTAGTGAAGTTAAAATTACATCAACATCCTACAAAAAAGACTGTTGGTTTTACTGGGGATTGTTTTATCTTAGGTGCAGTTTCTTTGCTGAAACTTCTGTGATAGTAAATATGAATATCACTTGTTTTAATAACAGTAGTATTATTAGTTCGCAACCACATGATCACTGTTTTGAGTGACAAATGAACAACCAATTAGTCAGCTGGACGTAACTGCTTGTATGAGAATTTATAATTGTTCATTACTTTTATATGCTTCTTATCGTTGTAGGTCTGAATCCTCACGTCTCCCATCAAAGTCGACTGAAATCATTCCTGGAGAAAAGTTTAAGTGGGATAAGCGAGTGGAATTATAATTGATCGAAATTGATCTGTTTCTACATGACGATCTCTGTTTCAATGCATGAAGTTTGAAAGTTATCTTACTTATCATATGATTTTCAAAGAAATATGTGATTTTCTGTATCAAATCCCATTTAGTGTAAAATTTTCATTTTTGACTCTACAAGTCCTCCCCACTACATACATAGTTTGTAACTCAGCTATTATTCCTTGTAGTCATCACGAGAATATACCAGTTTTACTAATATTTCAATTTCTTATGTTTTCTGAATCACATCAATCTGAGACCTGGGGGTGTGTCCGTCAGCTACAGTACTCAGAAGTTCACTGCTGAGCGGACCTTAGTTATATGTAGAAACTTAATTTTTAAGCCTAAAACTTATTTTAAGAGAAAAGCTGATATCAGTGTATGCATGTAAAGTGGGTCAACTGAATTAACAATGTACTGTTACGAATGTCAAAGTTATTTGCCTGTACATTTTTAGCTATTTTTAAGTGACTAACTGACTGGTTTCAACGTAGAATTTGCCCAGATGTGCAGCAGTTCAAGTCGCCACACTCCAAGTAGCACACAAAACAAGGGAAGAAAGTAAAAAGATGTGCAATATAGCGACCGTAAACAGAGATATGAGGTAAAAAGAATAGCAATATCGGAGAACAATATAGTTTTATTGAATATAATAAATCACAAGAAGTAGAACATCTGCGCCATTGAGAACGATTTTGAGCCATATCACCAGCTGTCTCCAGCCATTGATCTAACCATCCCGAAGACCCCAACCAGTCAGGAAATCTACACCACCCTACGTGGCTTAAACTAACTGTTATGGATTCCATTGACTGGTGCCATGTTTTAGTTTGACTACGACTAGCTCTCTCTTCCAACCTGGTCCTATGTCAGCTAGCTAACATTGTCCATTGTCGAGGAAGGCGATAGATGATGGCTGGACATGCGAAACACATGTCCTAACTATCTCAATGGGTGTAACTTCACAACCCTCATCCATTGATTCTCCCTCCTTACCTAGCACTCCACCGAAGCCTAACCTCAAAACTGTTCACCCTATTATGCCACTTAACACAGGAGATAGAACTCAGATACCTATGATCAAAGACAGCTAGCTGGCCTCTTCCTGTCTCCCACTTTCAATGGCCATGTCTCGCCCACAGCCATAAAGGAGGACAGAGTGACCTGGTGAGCAGTACACACGCCCTTTGTTCGACAGTCGGATGTCACGTCTGCTGAGCCAGAGATGGCGTAAGTTGGCATACACTAAACGAGTCTTCTGTATCCGTGCTGAGATTTCGTCAGTGATCAACCCGTTGGGGCTGATGCAACTTTCCAAATAAGTGAAGTGGTCAACACGCTCTACCACTTCACTCTCTGTCTCTTAGCTAGAAGTCAGTGTAGTCCAGTTCAGCCCGTAACATCCTCTTCTATTTGAAAGGATTGAATTTTATGCCAAACATACGCAGATTGCAGCTCAAGGTGTTAAGAAGCCTCTGCGTTTTGTCAGCGTCTTCAAAAGACGGTCTATATCATCTGCATTGTCTACGTCAACGAGATTTTTCCCTGGCGGTAAAAAGTCAATAACTGATTCGCTGAAGTCACTTAGGGTTCAGTCCATTAGTACATCTATGATGAAATTGAATAGAAATGGGTATAGTAGGCATCCCTGTCTGACACCACTAGTTATCACCACTTGAAGTGACATCTCTCCGTTGGCTCTCACCCGGCTGACTGCATGAGTTCGAGTAGAGTGAGTGCCTTGATCAGTGCAATATAATTTTTCGGCACTCCCTTCACAGCCTAACACCGCCGGAGTGCCTCTCGGTCGACGGAATCGAGTGCCGCCTTTCGATCAAGAAATATAGCTGTTGTTGGATGCCCGTAAGCATGCCTATGTTCTAGAATCTGTCGAAGGGTAAAGATATTATCAATACACCCTCTTCGTGGCCTGCCTGATTTTCTCGTGTTTGAAACTCTCGTGGACCGCTTAGTCTACGCATGATTATTGAGGCTACAACTTTAGATACCATATTAGTAAACCTAATCCCCTTGTGATTATCACAGGGAGACTTATGTCCCTTTTCGTATATCGAGGTAATCAGTGAATTGCGCCAACCCAACGGGACCGCCTCTGATTCCCAGACACTACCTTATACCTTAGTTAACGCAGGCAGTAAACTGTCTCCACCGTACTTAATTACCTCTAGAATCATTCCATCAGGTCCTGTTGCTTTGCCTCGTTTCAGACTAGTGACAACCTTAGTAGCCTCAGTTAGAGACGGAAGACCTCTGTTTATGTCCCATTCAGGGAGGCGTCGGATGTTCGGTGATTTGAGCGTGGCTATACTCCAACTGAGTTGCTCCTCAAAGTGTTCTTTTCAATGTTCTAGTCGTCTATCCTGAGAGCTAATTAGGGCGCCATTTTTCTCAGAGATTGTTTCACCTGTCGTTTGCCTTTTATCGCCTGTTTTCCTGATAAGTCTAAATAGTTGTCTGGTGTTACCAATCACCGGTGGCTTTTCCATCTCTTTCGCTTTTGTCGCCCACCACTGTTCACTGTCGTTACGAAGACTTCGCGTCAGTTTGCGTTTGAGCAGCTCTCGCTCCTCATCATAAATGGAGCTCGCCGGAATCAGTCTTCTTGCGTCAATCAGTCCGGGTGAGGTGGTAGAAATCCACTGACTCTTACTAACTTTAGGTTTCATGTTGTTAACAACTTTTACAGCTGTGTCTACAACTAGCTGTATACTGTGGCAGGCTTCCTCAGGTGGAGTCCTGCTGTCGTCCTAAGATACGCGTTCCGTTATTTCTTCCATACATAGCGACTGAGAGTCTCGATCTAGTTGGGGACGTAACTGCTTCGCTGCCAACAAATTTTTAAAGTCCGCTTAGACATAAGTATAAACGTGCGTAGACCAGAGCGTGATCGGAGTATACGCACGTGTTCCAGAAGGAGCGGCAGTCTTCTTCTGACCCTCGCCAACGATACCCTATGTCTATGTGGTCTATCTGAGTCCAGTGTTGATTTGGTAATGAAGGTTGCCAGGTTACGTGGTCTCTCTTTGTGCCTGAAGTTAGTGCTGACTAGGAACAGATGATCATCTGAGCAGAACTGTAGAAACCACCACCGTTGTCGGTTTGTCGGCAGGGAACTCCATACGTACAACCTACATACTTCTCAGTCTGGCACAACTTCCCTACTTGGGCACTGAAGTTGCCTGCTAAAACAACTAAATCTGAGTATTTTGCTTTTTGCAGTAAACTGAGCAGCTTCTGACAGAAACTATCCTTTAATTCATGTGAACTGCAACCGTTTGGGACGTAAGTGGAGACTATGAAGAGAAAACGACGGGTAACGCCGTCCTTCTTGCTTCTAGTGTACCCATTCACACGAACCGCACACATACGACTATCCACTGTAATCCATTCAAGATGTGATTTTCCTTGTTTTTTTAAATTCTCAGATGAAGGTATCGGTTGACTTATAATCATTGAGAAATACTATTTCATTCTGTGACGCGTCTAGCAATAATATGATACGAAGGTATATACTGCCAAAATACTTCTAACTCTACTCTAATATCAAGTGAATGATAATGATTGCTCAATACAATATTGCATTACAGTTGTTTTTGTCATATATTCTTCACAGTCATTATTAAACACTTAAGGTTGTTTAATGTGTGAGTACTATATTTACTGCCACTGCCTATTCATTTGTTGCCATATTTACGTGAAAATCCTCGCCCCTTTCCGAAGATGAGAAAGCCACAGGTAATTTGTAACGACGAGGTGTTATTGAAATTGTCTAAGGATGGCAGTAGAAGTTGACTGCTTATACTGACTGCCTCTATTAGTTAGATCAGTGGAAGTCAAACATAAGCCGTTTTGACTATTTCCATCCATTGTGTATGCTAGTTTTCATATAAGGAGAAAAGAACTCGGTTCAGCTATGAGGTAATAAGCCGCTCAAATTCTGAAGCAAATATTCATCCGATGTGTATTGTACATTGAACAGATAACATATATTTATATTTGGATATGTCTGTATCATCCAGGAAGCCATCCTCAATCCCTTCCTGAAACAAGCGAACTGACGGCTATCGAACGTGTGCCATGTTTCGTTAAGAGAAAATCAAAGATCCACTTAATTGAAGAAAACCTTTTCTTTTCAAGAGGGTCACCAATATTCGTTAATATATATTATTATTGTTCCCTTGGATTGCGAGTGAGACATAGGGCTTCAACAACACATCTCCACTTTGTTCTATTTTCTACCATATATATATATATATCCGGTTAGAGGTCAAAATATAGTCAAAACGTGATAGTGTAATTCAAGTAGGTATTAAAATAAAACAGAGTTCCAATAATAGACATAAATAAATAGTCGAATTCATTCTCTGCAAATTGCACATCTGGAGGTGAAAAATCGCGGTTCCTTTCAGAAATCACAGTTTTGAGATCACAGTATGTGTGTTTGTGTGAAAACAAGGGAAATGGTATACTGGTATGCCCTTCTAATCTATATGAGCAGTTGGATACCATTCACATCAAGCAGTAGGGCTTTGTGGCCTGAGTTTAGATGGTTTGAAGTGATTCTACCCTCTGAGCTGAGTCAAATCTCTCGCATCTCTGGGGGACACGGTGCCAAACGAGCGAAATCGCCCTCTGGTATTTGCACCACTTCCATTTTGCTAGTGAGCACCAGTGTGTTGTGATAAGTGCACTGTGATGGATAGCATAACTATTTCATTTAGGAAGTGGACTGCATACGATAGCCATGCAAAGACAAGAAACTTATACAGAAGTGTTAGGAAATAAATACAACATTGATTTTTAAATACATTACTGCGAAAAGTCTAAAATGATATTGAGTAATTTGTATACACTTAGTGGATAGTTTTGTTGCTACCCAAGTTTTGGTTTTGTTGTCACATCTTTTGGGCATTAATTTTAGCCCTATTCAGTTGTCAAGTAGCAGTTTACAATAACCCTTAGTTATAAGCCTTCAGTCCTATGGATTTTGCATACTTTTTACATAGAAGTACAACAAACTAGCAGGGAGTCATTTTAATCAGGTATAGTCTATGAGATACCTAAATGGTGTGCTCGTCTGAAGTCAATATATGTCAGGTAGTCTGGTTTCAATAAATCCGTAAGTGGAACTTATGGTGTTGAAACCATGTTTTTTGGCATCCCTAATCAAGAATTTCAACGATTAAGATTATTGAAACTACCTA